TAGTTACAGGGTATTTATAAGGTATTACAATGTATTTTAAAAGGTTTTGCAACGTATTTATAAGGTATTTATAAGATATTATAAGATTTTACAAGCTATTTTATTAAGTGTTACAAGTTATAAGGTTTTACAAGTTTTTTATAAGGTTTTACAAGTTATAAATACCTTATAAAACCTTATAAGTATCTTGTAAAATCTTTTAAAATACATTGTAAAACCTTACAAAACACTTGTAAATACTCCGTAAAACCTTTAAAAGACCTTGTAAATTTTTCCCGCCAAAAAAATTTCGCCAAAAAATTGCGGAATCACTTTTCCCGCAAAAAACTTTTTTTGGCGAGAAAAATTTTTGGCGGGAAAAATTTTTACGGAAAAATTTTACAAGGTATTTTAAAGGTTTTTACAAGTGTTTTGGCGGGAAAATTGCGGGATCACTTTTCCCGCCAAAAAATATTTTGTATTTTGTGGACCTAATTTTGTTTCAAATAAGGGTAAAATGGTCATTAAAAATTAAAAGAGGGCAAACTTAAAAATGGACTCTCAAAGGAGGCATTTTTGAAAAGGGGTATTGAAAAAGGGGCATTTTTAACAATTTCTCATAAATGTAACGTTGGAAAATCTACCAAGTCTCGCTCTACGACTGAAAAATAAACTCTAAACCTCAGCTGCACGCTGCTCCTCCTCAATGCCTCTGAACGTAATCAAAACTTATGTGAGAGAAAAAGCGCCTAGTGAGACTGCAAAATTGATGAACAAGTACCAACACGGTATGATCCCCGCATAGAATAATGTTCACGTGTTGGTACTAACAGACATAAATTTCAATTTAATTACTTATAAATAAAGTAAATGACATAAGAAGATATATTATCAGAAATGCATATTCACATCAATTAAACAGAATAATATCAACAGAGAGAATAATAACATCGGAATAGAACGACCAGGTTTCCAGCAATGCAACATCGAAATGGTCCCCATGATTGGTTGACCCAACTAACAGAATATATACATAATATACTCGATAAGAATGTTGGCCCCTAACGAGGTGATAATGAATTATAGTCCACAACATTAACCGACCTCAATATCACTAATAGAATATCAGAATACGGAATACATGTGTTGGCGATGCCGGCCGCCACAGATTGCTCAATAGAGCTAGCTAAATCAGAATAACATGCTGATAACGATCTTAACAGAAAAACATATTTCATCATCGAAATCATATATAGCATAATAACACTAAAACAAATAATTAATTTTCAGAATTCAAACATACAAATAATTCATTTCTTCTTTTTACCATATTCCTAAATATTATACAAATGTATAATAACTAATAAGTGAGTTAAAACTCACCTGAAAAGATTTTCGGACCGAACGAGTGGTTAATGGCAATTCTAGACACATCCCAAACCACCAATTAATTCACCTAAATTCAACAGTCAATTAGAAAAATCCGTACAATATACCATCGGAAAGATAATTTCAAGAGAAAGCATAAGCGAGTATTAGAGTGTCCAAAACCGGTTTAAAATCACCTGTACCGGTCTGAATTACGATCGGTTTAAATTCAAAATTCGATTTTCTGCGAGTATTTAACATAGAGAGGCTATCCCAAAACCGGTTTCAAAACGTTAAGAACCGGTATAACTAAATCCCGATTTGACTATGAATCAACAAAATCGAAATATTTACTAATCAGATTCCGATCAATTCCGACTTCCGTTTGATGATATGTCAGTGGCGTTGGATCCTATGAAAGAGAGCTTTCTAACTAGGTATAGATCACATTGTAATTCTTCTGAAACAAAATCCACCATTAAAGAGCTTTAAGCTCACTTCCATGGAAGAAAATTGAAAGAGGAAGAAGATCAAGGTTACCAAACACTTGGATAGAGTCTGAGCACGACCCAAGACTAGAACACTAACACGGTGAAGTACAATCAACCTAAGCCACAACAAACTTCGATCAAAAGTTGTCCAAAATATTCAAATCGGAGACGATGACAAAGGGTCGCGAAAACTCACCAAAAATCTCTAATTGACGAGGAAATCAGCTACTAAATTTTTGGGGCTTCAAAATGCATATTAGCATATATATAAGTGATATTAGGGTTGAATGATGAAGATTCGAGTTGCCAAAAACAATCCCTCTGATTTCGGTAAGGATGAAATCGAGTTGCACACTTTTTTCCCATTTTTACACTTTAGTCCCCATACTTTTCTCTATTTATAGATTCTGCCCCAAACTTTTGAATTGCTCTGAAATTCTCCAGAAATCAGACGGTTTTAAAACGATCAATTTAATCCAAAATCTGATTCTTCCCTTTTTCAAATTTGGGGTGTTACAATTCCACCACCCTTAAAAGAATTCGTCCTTAAATTCAGAGATTAAATCGAAGCAGATGGGGATCCATTTCAAAGATTTATAATTAAGAGATTTCCAATAAACTTCAACTTCCATATTGTTTCTTGTGCACTACAATTCCTCGGCTCTTATAATCTAGTTCCCAAAATGTGAATTGGTTCTTCTTCATACCTCAAGTCTTTTGAATTTTCAGGTTGAAAATCACCACATAAGATGGGTCAAGATGATACTTTCTCAATACTGACATGTGAAAAACTTTATGCACATGCCCCAAGTCTGGAGGTAATCCTAGGCGATAAGCTACACTTCCAACACGTTCGAGAATATTAAAGGGCCAATAAGCCGGCCTTAAATTCATGACTGGCCAAAATCGAAATTTACTTTTCATAGGTTGAACTTTAATAAACACTTGATCACCAACCTCAAATTCCAATAAAATAATCACGTCTTTGAAGATCTGCATAACTATTTTTTTTCAGTGGTTTTCAACACCAACTCAGAACCAATACTACTGGTTTCTCCAGCTTCTTCCCAACACAGAGGTGTACGACACGACCTACCATACAAAGCCTTGTATGGTGCCATACCAATACTAGCATGGAAACTTTTATTGTAAGCAATCTCAATCAATGGCAACGACCTCTACATGATTGATGTGTCTATAATTTGCATGTTTTCTGCATTCATTCATCATCATTTTGAGTCTAGTTTCATAACATTCATCACTGTTTCATATCATTCTTCATCATTCTTGCATACTTTGCATGATTATGATTTGTTTGCATACATTCTGCATTTCGGAGTTGTTTTCAGGTGATTTGGAGCTGTTGGCGATCAAATTGGAAGAAGCGATCCGGAGTCAACAGACTATACTCGACCACAAGGTCGAGTGCTTCCTGCAACACTTACTCGACCCTGTGGTCGAGTGACACCATCGCCAGTCTTCCTCAATCACTCGATCACATCACTCGACCACCAGGTCGAGTATCCACAACCATTGCTCCGAGAACCACTCGACCACATCACTCTGCCATTCACTCGATCACGTCTTCAGAGCCTTCTCAAATCCGCACTCAACCAGACAAGCAGAGCATAAGGAAGAGAATAGGAGAAGAAGAAGTATTTGGAAGCGGTCTGGAGTTTCACTCAATCACAAGGCCAAGCTTCGGCCCATTATCGCTCTACGGGCCGATCGAGTGGATTCACGACCCATCTCTTATCGTTTCTACTTCATTTTGTATAAATAAGTCTTCGAGGGTTTTGTCCCGAGACATCGAGTTTTTGCTTCGAGTTTTTATTGCTGTTTTAACCTAGTTACTCTATCACATCGTCGCTTTGCTTCTGCAACTTGTAATTCGAGATTTTTCCAAGTTATTCAGATTTCGCGTTTGATTGGTTCTATCACTTTGTTTCTCTACTCTCAATCTCTTTACTTATGCAATCTTCTTGTTTATTCGCGATTATGTTTTTGAGCATGTTGTCTGAGTAGTGACATAGAGTTCTTAAGGATGGGATAATGGTTGTGGAATTTGTAGTCTTTTAGATGGTTAAGTTTTAGAATTGATTGAATCCCTTCTGGACTAGTTGAGTTTATTGCTTGTTTCTTTATGATCAACTGGAACTTGATCCAAAGCATTCCCGCACCCAGAACGTGTTCGATGGAATGCTTGATCCACTAGTTCCAGAGATATGCGTCTCTATCCCAAGGGATTGGCCGTTTAGAGCGTTTATTGACTGTAATAGGTTGAATTGTATTGCCTGCATAGTTAGATTCCGTTAATGGGAATTAGTCTAGGCTAACTTTTATTGAGGGTTTCTGTCACAGGAGTGAATTGATCTGTTGTTGAACATGTTGTCTAGGGATAGCTTGATTGCGCTTTGTTACCATCTGAATAGGCTAAGGAGACCGCTCCATTGATTACCTCATCCTTAGGAATTTCTCGTCTATTTGAGTACTTTGTTTACATTGCTATTGATTAATCATTCTTGTTGCCTGCTGCTTTGTTTTCACATTTCTTGCCTGTTTTCACTCTTATACTCGACCACATCCAGTGTCTGGCAACAGATTGTGTGGTAGAGTACTTTGTTGCAGTTTCTGCCTGCTACTCGACCACATCCTTCTCCTGGCATCAGCTAGTTGTGGTCGAGTGATTTCTGTAATTCTGTAATTTTTCTTTTTACTGCATGATCACTTAGAACTGTTACAAACCCAAATCATGTATTTGCTTGGCTTGACTTAGGGGGGTGTATTGGACCTGATATTTTACGAAATTTGGTGGAGGGGGGTGTATTCAATTAAAGATTGAGGAGGGTTTGGTGGAATTTAGAAAATTTTGGATTTGGAGTGATTTAAGTGAGTTAATAGGATACTTTTGGTGGAATTGTTATTTTTATTTTAAAAAAGGAAAGATAATTTGTGATTTGATGAGCTTTTAATGAAATAATATATAGGTGATTTGGTGAGGTTTTTAGCACAAAAAATAGAAAAATTAGGATTCTCTAAAAAATTGCAGACGGTAGAATCAATATCAATGAACCATTCACATGCTTAAAAATAATTGGAATCACCATCAACAAGGCAAATGGGGACTTTGATTTTAGGATCTCTTATGTTATTTTTGTTCAAGGGATCGAGATCGAGAGAGATGAAGAGAGGAGATTGTTTCACTAGTTTAGTTTTGTTAGCCACATGTTTTTTTTTGTTTTTTTTTGTTTTTAATCAAATACCACCTCTAGAGGTGTGATTGTTTAGTTGTTATTTTTACACTAAAAAGGTATCCAAAGTCTCACCAAATCTGTTTTCAATAATTGTTTAAAAAAGTTTTGTTAAGTTTGAATAACAGTGGATTTGATATGGGTTTTAGAAATTCATGATTGAATAACATGAGATTTGAAATGATTTGGAATGATTTTACATAAATTTTAGTTTCAATAACATGGAATTTGGGAAGAGATTTTAAAATCACTAATTGAATAACATGTGATTTAAACAAAAAACCAAAATTTTCTAAAATCATTGTTCCAAATTTGAATATTTTAGATTTTTGAGAGATTTTAGTGAGTTTTTAAGGAATATGATTATTTATTAGAGTTTTTAAATGTAAAAAAGAATAATGATTTGTGATTTGGTGAGATTTTATTATCAAACTTTGGGTGATTTTAGAACAAACAAAAGAAAATTTGGCTCTAGCTCCTTTTCTCACAATGACAAAACACAAACACGAAGTAGCTCAACGAGCGAAGAAGAGTACATGACTCAATTATACGAATTCAGCATATGTATTCTCCCATCAAGGAAAACCTGCAATTAGAGGAGACATAAAAAAGAGGAGCCAAAGCTTTTCTCAAGTTTATTGTTTATACGTTTATCTCTTACGAGAACATGTGAAGGAGAAGTGCACGTAGGAAAAGAGAGTATCTTCATGGACTTCCTCAATTGTTTGACTCATGAAGCCTCTTGTAGACATCTCTACCTCATTCATTGCTTTATATATTCTGCAAAGCAAAAGTGGTAAAATAACTACGAACTTATTTCAAGAGAATAATATATGAAAAAAGTAACAGATGTTCCTATAAGGATAGGTGAGGATTTTCTAAATCCGAAAGAAATAGTATATGAAAGTTACAGAACTCAACACCAAAGCAAGAACAAGAAAGCTGGGATTTTAATACACTGAGGCTGTGATTCTCTAAGCAAGTAATTTTTCATGTTCGATGTTGTTATCGTTCTGGAGTAAAAGAGTATTTGATTGATGAGAAACGCTTGGGAGTGTTGATTTACATGTCTGTTGCTTTTTGTGTATGTCTTTGAGGTCTTGAGCCTTATTTTAATGGTGCAGCCCGTGGATCAGCGCTAGCAACTCTCTTCATGAGATCTCCACCATGCACTTTCAATCCAAAATCAACATGCATGTGGCTGCAAAGAGAATCATACTGATCAATTTCCCACCCAAATTTTTAGTAAAGCATGCAAGTTAATGGCATGAACTCTAATTTGTAAAGACATCATAGAACTTAACAGAGGCTCCTCCTCATTGGTATCATAGAACCTAACACCTGCAGGAGATTAGGCAGAATTCCCTTACTTATTAGCACATGAAACACAACGGTAAGAGTTCACAAGAGTCTAATGGGGCTACCGGGCTAAGATTTGCCATGCCTTACAAAAAAAGTAGCATAGGAATTTAACGTAAAACAGAAGTAAGAGCTCACTACTCAAGACTTACAAAAATAGACACTAACAATCATATAATCCCAAAACTGTTTTTTTTTTAACAACACACCGAAGAAGAATCAAAACCCACTTCTGTAAATAAGAACACCAGAGAAGACACAAGAATAAGCCTTTTCTTTGTTATTTAGAGAATGCAGAGAAGAGAGAGTGATGACAGAACTAGCTAGTTGCGATTTCAATGGCATCTGAACTCTCGAAGGATTGGGGAAATCGAATTTGACAGAGATTTTAAGAGAAATCCAAAATTAATCAAAGGATTTTGGCAGATAGCAATTGTAAAGAGTGACAAGGAGCGATGCGACGCGATATCCTTCAATTATCTATGCGATTGTTCCTGGAACTACAAGTTCAATGGAAGAAGACAAGAGATGGAAAATTATCACTTCTAGAGGTGTCAATAGAGTGAAAATAAATCTGGTCAAGAACTCTGCTTTTTTCTCATACAATTGTTTTTCTTGGAAGTCTTTCAAAGTTTCACCAATAGAGATGTGATTTTGCTGTCATATTTTTCAACTAAAAAAGTGTATAAAGTCTCCTAAAATCAGTTTTTTAGTAATCGTTTAAGAAAAAATAGTGAAATTTCCAATAACAGTAGATTTGATTTGATATTTACAAATTGTTGATTAAATAACAAGAGATTGTGAATTATTTTGAGTGACTTTATATAAATATCAAGTTCAATAACATAAGATTTAAGAATTATTTTAAAAATCTCCAGTTCAATAACACGTGATTTTAAAAATACCCAAACATCTTCTAAAATAC